TGCCCGTAACGCCAACAACTATAAAAGTTTTAGCTCGATCAGTTAACCAACACTATTCATTTCGGGGAGGTAAAGTCACAAATACAGAATTTTATTAGATACCTTTTAATTAGACATTGGAATGAGTTCAGTTTCGCATTTATAGGTATAGTGTGCAAAAACGTGCTTCTCGATGAATCTTACGGCAGCATTCCACCAAATATATAACACGAAAGTAGCTCTGTGTATTGGTTACATTTTAACGGCTAGTCCAGTACTACGATTTTGATGGAATTCGGTATGGAAATTGTTTAAGCGTTCTGAAAGAATGTACGTTAATCACATCAAGGAAAGCAAGTAAAAAAGATTTATAGCCGATTTCTGCTAAAAACAAATTGCACCTTCAATTTTCTAATGTATGTCATATCTTATATTAGATCATTCATTACCTGATAGCATCCTGTTCAGTTGATAGATATTACGCGTATGAACTTGAACACTCTAACAACTGCAACTACTACTTAACTGTCATTAGTAGTAACAGTTGCAGGAGCCGTGTGCTATTTTATACCTAATTCCTTCTAACGTCCTCTTATCCTTACTGCTTGTTCTGAAAAAAAAAACCAAGCAAAGGTTTTTTGAGAATAGATTTGTATCTTTATCTACTGAAATACATTGCATGCATTGTTGTGTTCATAGCGAAAGTGTATCAGTAAAAATCACAGATTCAGAAACATCTAACTCACACGTACCTCCTAAATACTTTTAACATACACACAAGTTTACTACAAGGTATTACGTGGCTCCATTTTTCTGCGAAGCAATTTTGTGTTCATCGTTTAGCGTTCCGGTTTCAAGAGATATAACGTAGACGATATAATACAACTTCAAGCTTAAGTCTACATCTATTAGTGTCAGTATTCCTTGTACTGCTTAACGAGTTCTCAACACGATTTTTAGTTTTAGCGGGTTTTCAATATTTTGACGCTATTGCAAGCATCAAGATCGAGAACTCACTGTATTAAAAAAAGGCAAGATCTTCTTGTTGTAAAGTTTGTAGGACCGTAGTGTTCTTTTTTTTAATTTCGAAGGTAAAGACGTGGCTTTGAGTTATCCACCTACTTGGATCTTAGCGCTTAATCGAATCCGTTGACAAAACAAAGAAGTATGAGTTTCGGCGAAAGATCTTACGTTAAAAACATAATGACCTCCGAAAAACTCAGAAAATATTGAAATAATATAGATATGTATCTATGCATATATTTTGCATTAGGACTGATTTGTGGCTAAATAGTTTAGGTAGTTTGTATGGCAATGGATTTACCACATTGCTTATAACGTAATACATAACTTATATTAACTGTTATAAAGAGTTCCCTTACAAAGGTCACAGAGGTAATTAGCTAATCTATTAAATTAGTACATGAGACTGCGGTGTATCTGGTATTAAAAGGTTTCTAGAGGCATAGACAGAAGAACGTCAATACCGGTATCTACTTTTAGATAATGTCTCAATTGTGTAGTGTAATAATTAGGTACTCCAATTATCCAATCGAAACGAATGTCCACTTCACAGTACAAACGAAGGACCGTGGTGGACATTAAATCAATACATTTCTCTTATAATTAATTCTTTAGCAATAGGTTAATAATACTGCTAGTTGCTACTTGCAGTTTACCCACACCTTAGGAAAAGTATCAATTTCACGTAATTTTTCGGAAGAAAATAAAACACAGTTTCCTGAGGCAATGAGATGTTTTTTCGGCATAAAAGATAGCTTATGCCACTCTCCTGACCTAAAAGTATCACTTTAAAAGAAATCCAGTAAATCCGTTGCTTCGTTTCAACGTAAAAGTAGAACAAACAAACACACTTTAACATTTATAATATTAATAAGTCAGTATATACAGTTAGTACATGTTAAGAGGATATAGGCATATTACATTTATACAAAACAAAACAAAAAAACTGGAGTACTTCTTTTTGCCACTACACCTATATACAGATCTATTCCTGGGCCTAGAGATCGTATCGGATATGTGGGACTCGTTGGCCCAACGCCCTCTCAGATCAGAGAGATCGGAGTAGGTCGCATTCCACAAGTGTCGTAGCCAAGCGAAAGCCTTTCTCCGGTCTCCGAATTAATGGCGACGGATCGGTGCGGAGAGAGGTGAACTCTCCCTCTCTTGTTCCCTCGTCTCCTTCTGCGAGATAGTGTACTCGAAAAAGTCGAGTATCGCCTCCTGCCTCTTCGCTGCCGAGCATTGTAACCACGATGATCGGTAGCAACCACGGCGTGCCACCATTCGCCCCCCGCAAGTAAAGTGCCATCGACCACACCATGCCCACGTAGATGGCGCCTTACCTTGTACTCTCTTCTCCCGACGTTAGGCATGGGTCAGGTTAGCGAGCAGTTCGTCGCCATCAGCGCAGAAGTTATAACGATCCACCAATTCGAAGCTGAGGTACCACAACCCTATCACACCGATCGCAACCCGGATACCCCAATCACTAGGTGTGACCTATGTACACACCTACCACCAGTAAGTGCCAACTGGCGTAACTGTAAAAATATAAACTGGTATAGTACTCACAAAAAGTCTGTCCATTCTCCCTTAGCTTACATTAGCATACGGCCATTGCTTATTTGTGAATTCTGAATTTAATGCCAACTTAATGAATGGGTATACAACGTTGGTAAAATTTCTAATCCTCCTTAGGAAATAATCCTTTTTCTATTTAGCCTATAATCCTTTTTAGCGAAAACAATCTTTAATATACCCGATAGCAAAATATTTACAGCCTATATAATAAATATCTAAGAGTTTAATAACTCTGAAAATCACACGCTATTGTATACATATACCAAAGAAACAAAGCCTTTGTTTAGCAAGGGATCCGTTTCGAAAATTACTTGTATGAAGGTGTAATTATAAATAAATCTGCGGTGGGTTCGTTCTGTCTAATTGCGTTATTCGACGACGTCTACACTAATCTAATTGTTTGCGGTCAAAACGCAAGGTGCGTGGTCCGAGTTGCGGCGGAAATTTCCAATATTGAAATAATTTAAGGCTATGACATGGGAGGTTTGTGGAGAGTACTTAATGGTAGACAGCGGCTTGGGCTTGGCTTTACCCCTGGCATTGTTGAAGTCCACGGGTGACGGTAACCACCCACGATCAGGTAGCCTGTATGCTCGTCTGCCTACAAGGGAAATAAATAAATAAAGTAATGGTGACTTGGCCGGTATTTAAAAGTAAGCTATATGATTGAAACTATCCTACAATGTCTTTTTTGGTCTATACGGCCCAACGAACTGTCAATCCTCTTAATTTTAAGCAGCTAGATGTTGTAGTTCCCATTACATTGTATAATGATAATACACTCAAATAACTCGTCATATCTTCAATCAACAGTAAAATTAATAGAAATGCGTTTTATTTCTCTTACAAAATATTATTGTTATAAATATCTCCCGCTACCATTAAGCATCCAATCAAGGACCAAAACACAGAGCATTATATCGAGAAAGGAAAATGAAAATAGGACATTTCGGCTAATGTTTCCGTACGTTAGGAAATTGATTTACTGTTTGTATATCGGCCCTCATATTGAGTTCGTGAACCCCGATTAAGTGAGGAGCAAACAGGAGGTGCCTCCAATGTTTTTCATGTCATGTTTTCCACGTAAATATCGGATTCTTAGAATTCGGAAACGCGTAGGGTTTTTTTTTTGAGCAGATGTATTTAATTGTTCCGCTTGAACGTTTTTTTCGTGTGACGAAAGAATTTAATTGACAAGGATTGAGGAAACCATGCTTTTGAGCCTTTTACAAAAAACGAAATACGTATGTTGAGATGCAAATAATAAAATTAAATCTTTAAATATATCTCTATATATAAAAATAATTTCTGTTCGTTAGTCTTGCTAAAACTCGAGAACGGCTGGACCGATTTGGCTAATTTTGGTCTTGAATTATTTGTGGAAGTCCAGAGAAGGTTTAAAAGTTAGATAAATATGAAAATGCCCGGAATTAAATAAAAATAACAATTTTGTTTTTCCTTAGATGTATCCCCCGTCGGACGGATTCCTTTGGTTTGTTTTAAGTTTATTTTATATTATACAAAAGCTTAGGTCTTTTATTTATCGATTGCGGCACTGCGAAGTCTGCCGAGTATAACCAGTATTAAAATAAAATAAATATTTCGGTTATAGTAAATAACTTATAAACCATTTAAAAGTTATAATTGAACATCAAAGGATGAGTAGCTTCCGCGGCAACGCCTTACCATTAAGTTGTCTGGCGTGCAGCGCGGCTATGTTGTGGAGGCCGTTTTCGTCACAAACTCCCTGAGCGACTCCAAACCTAGGTCTCGGGCGATAACGTCATTTCTGACGTACCGCCCAGCCCCGACGATAGTACGGAGGGAAAGACTCTGGTGGGTCTGCACCCTAGATCGCTGAGACGGCGATAACAGGTGATACCAGGCCGCAGCAGCGTATGTGAGGCGGGAACGGACGTATGTCTTGTAAATGGCGACGCCTGGTCCTGATCGCAAACCCGGACGCAAGTATCGGCCGCAACAAGAACCTGACCGCGCGAGTCTGATCGATGACTCGGTTGACGTGCGCGACCATGAGCGATCGATATCGCATCCGAGATACCGGACCGCGGTCCTGAACTCTACATTCATACTGAGTTTCCTTGGGACGACTCTGATACGGACCGGACCGTAACCGGACCACGGTCTTTCCCACATTGACCGCGACTCTCCAACGGTCCAGCCACTGGGGCAGTAAATCCAAAAGCCTCTGCATCCTCATGATGGCTGCAGAGGGAAACGGAGAGGACGCGAAGTAGACTGAGTCATCAGCGAATAGGGCCAACTTCACGTCCTCCTCCCACTCCCGAAAGTGGCTTTCCAGGGTGGGGATGTCATTGGTATAGAGGGCGTATAGGAAGTATCTGCATTTCCTCATATTGAATTAAAAGTATTTAATAAGCTTTCGCTTGTTGCAGATACCATCGCCTTAAGAGACGTGCAGCTGATAGCGCCATCTGCCGTAAAACTCGGCGACACAGTACTCCTCGGTTGCAAATGGACTTTGGAAGGCAACGAAACTTTGTACAGCGTAAAATGGTACAGGGGAAGGCAGGAATTCTTCAGCTATTTACCTAAAGAATATCCCTTCACGAGGATCTTCGCGCAGCCTGGTATAGACGTAGACGTGAGTACATTCTTCTAAATTTAATTTAAATTAAGTTTACTCTATCTTATCTTCGTTTATCTTCTACTTTATCTTGTGCCTTCAAACTTCGTGACCATAAAAAACAGCGTCACATCCGAATTACGTTCCTTCCGGCCGTTATTAAAGCTCATAAATATTATAATGTAACAATGAATGCCTTCCTAAGATGGAAATTTCAATCGTAAGGAGAGTATCAGTGCCTACTACCTACCATAGGTATGCGTTCTATCTTAGTGGGACTACCGTAATACAGATTAGGGAGATTTAAAACAAACCTCTAATGATGGATTACCACAATCACTTGTTATGTCATTGTATGAGTCCTGGCTAATACTGGTGGAACGTGGGTTTGTTTACTTAAAAAAGAATAAGGACCGCAGCATGAGCCCTGAAATACATAAGGAGATTAAGTGTAAGTAACACAGTGAGGGAACTTTTCATGGAGTCTAGGGGCGCGTACCCAGTTCTTCCGGAATCTTCTATCCACGGATATTTGTTCGCCCACAAGAAAAGATTCATGTGTTGGTAGTATAAAAAACTAAAAAGTCTAATGAAAGCTAGTTAAAATTAAACACGACTTCAGATTTCTGTAATTAAGATTCTCAATATATATTACTGTGAAGAATCCTCAATCTTACAAAAATCTAATTATTTATCCTGTAATTTTATAGGTTATTCGAGATTAAAGAATTTAATTAGTCTATTTGCTTACATTTAGTAAAAATCTTAATTAATCTGAGCATCCTTGAATTTCGTCTCGAATTTTCTACTAATTAATATCGTGAAGATTTTCCAATTTTTCACTGAGAATCTTCATCTTGGGTACAATGGGCTTATGAAGCTGGACTAGAGCTTTAGAAGTTATTCTTCGTTAAGTAATTAGGACTCCTGGTCATTTTTCGATGTAGCTGTCGAAAAAATACAGAACAATAAAAGTATTTGTTGAAACTACTCGCGGGGAACTTGTCACTTCTTGTTATCTAGTTGATGTTCAAATGATAAAAACTTTTCCTGAAGAGCCATTACAATAGTCCGTAAAAAGTTCCAAATCACTAAGATCATAAGTTTGCAATTGCTTTCATCACGATGATGCATTTTTTTCTTATATATGTGGACAAACTCACAGACCACCTGGTGTTAAGTGGTTACTGGAGCCCATAGACATCTACAACGTAAACGGGCCACTCACCTTGAGATATACGATCTATTCTAAGGTCTCAGTATTATAGTTACAACGGCTGCCCCGTCCTTCAAAGCGAAACGCATAACTGCTTCACGGCAGAAATAGGCAGGGTGGTGGAACCTACCCGCACAGACTGACAAGAGGTCCTACCACCAGTAAAGAATTGAGAGATAAACATAAAATCCTTTTTAAATACACTAGAGGAATTATTAGTCTTTTTATCTAATCTCGCGAGTTGTCGGTAGATAATTATAATTAAAACTTGTTTTAAAGTTTAAGCTTACTCTGTTTAATAAAATAACAAATTAAAAACAAAGAACTACGAATTAGAAGTTTTAATTAGCTTAATTAATTATATATATAAATATTGTTATAACTGTTTGATAGTAATAAATTATGCTCGTGTTATTAAGCTTCACATTAATAAATATCCAAACCAAATGATAACTAAATGATGCACGATTAATGAGTAATATATCAAAATAGTTCATTCAAAAAAGTATGTTAATACTACAAATTAACTTTATTTCTTCAATGAAAGCTGCGGTTTCAGTAGGGCAAATCGCAACCGGTGCAATGACATAAGATGAAGAGAGAAGATACAGCTCCTCATACGCATATGGTACAAAACTAAGAGTAAAAAGAGAATTTTGAATTTTTCAACAATGTTCGCAAAGTTACGAACTCAAAATCATAACAAGGGATAACTTTAAAAACGACAGCAAAATAAAACTCAAAGAAATTTTAAAACGAAGAGAAACCGATAAAGTTTAGAGCTCGCCTTAAAAAATTCAATTCGGTTATTCATAAACCCATTAAGTGTTGTACAGCAGGAATTATGGGATACGAATTATGTTTTCACAGTATGACGAGCAAAATATTGTTAGATTATAGTAGTTTAGTTAACTATAGCGACCCGCCCTCGCTTCGCTTCGGAAACATTAAAACACACATGAAACAAAAAAAAAAAATTAAAAAAATTAAAAAAAAGTAGCCTATGTTCATCAGGGACAATGTCGGCTTCTAATGGAAAAATAATTTTTCAAATCGGTCCAGTAGTTTCGGAGCCTATTCGAAACAAACAAACAAACAAATCTTTCCTCTTTATAATATTATTATATTATATTATATTATATAGTATAGATAAACGATAAGGAATTAGGGTGAAATTATTTAGTTTGTTCTTTTGTTTTTTTTTTTGTGGTGATTGTTTTAGTTAGACTCAATTTAGTTAACTGTAAATGGTAAGAATTTATCTTATTACGTTATACCAAGGAAAACTTATGTTAATGAATACCATGTAATTTGGTTAATGGTAAATAATGAATTCCTGAAAAGGTTTTCCGTATGTTGTCGTGCGATTTTAAATGAAGCTTCCGTTTTTATTAAGATTATGTGGCCTCATAATATAATGATAAGATAGTCCATACACGTGTTAAATAATAGTTTGGCAATATTTGTTATATATTTTAGAACGCATTATATTAAATCATATTCAGTTTTAATTTATCATATATTTTAGAATCATGCTTTTATAGGTAGATCTTTTTTTTTATTGTAACAAATACCTAAGTAGGGTTCACGATTGACGATGGGAATGGTCATGTCATAAGGTTATAAGCTCATTTTTCAAACGAAACTCAACGGCTTCAACCTCGTGTCAAAGAGCAGTTTTTGAGACACTGTTTAATTAAAAATTTTATTGATAACAGATGGGTATACCAACTTAATGTTTCAATAGTAAAAACAAGAATAATAATACCGACTATACTGTTATCGTAGACAGCTTATTCACTAATTCAATTAATCTTCTAGACAAAATCTTCCTTTTGATTAGATGTTTCCCTGGAACCAAAAGAGCCCATCAAAGATTGAAAAAAAAAAAATGAAAAACAACCTGACTCAATACCTATAACCGATTTTACTTAACGTCTCCCAATAAACAGGTTTATTGGTCGTTAACGCAGTTTCACGTTTTATTGTGAGCCATTGTTAAGATGATACGATTTACGGTAGAAACTATAAATCTGTGCCCTTTAATGAATAGATTATTTGATAAATGTGAATCTAAATAAAAGTAAAAAAAAGGGTGCGTGTACTTATGTATGCGCAGAAGAAGTTATACTTTTTTTTTTTTTTTTTTTAAATATTAAATAATTAATAATAAATATTTAACGTTAGTAATTTAATAATATTAAGTATGAATTATATTAAATAATAATTTTGTCATTTATATTACTAAATAATACATACGGATAGTTAACCTCAATTGTATTGGAGCACTTAGGGGGTTGATGAGCAGTTTTTTCACAAATATTTTCTAGTATTAATTAGACTTAACACTTCTGATAATATCACTTCTATAATTCAGACGCACATATAAAATTCGCACTTGTATAATGAAAACAAAATGAAAACACGTGTTTTAAATGTAGAAACTCAAAGCATGTGGATAAATATTATAAATATAAATACACAGTGAACAGAGGCGGCGTGCGTGGCAACATGCGCCACTAACAGAGGTTCCATTTCTGTTTTGTTGGTAGCATTTTTTCTTTAGTGGGCAACTTCATTCCTGTTAATCTTGTGTCACGGTGCGCGCGCATCGTAAAATTTCACTCTCATCAAATTTTTCCTAACTCGCCTAAAGAAGTATAAGTTTAAAAAAATCCGACTCGTTTATATAATTGACACAGCTTTCGCGTTTTTATCGTCAATAAATTATTTCCTTCGTTTCAAACACTTCACAGTTTTCGTGGTAACGAATTAATAATCTTTTAACATATTTGGTTGTTTTTGAAGTCAGATTTTTCTTGCATTAGATGTCTTCAGCTCTAACACTGGGAACAGGCTAAGGCATTGGAGACTTTTCTGTCCTGCCAAATACGCATAAGCTTGCTCATCGCAGCTTGGGTCATTTGAGTCCTTCTCTTGATCTCTCGTTCGCTTCCTCCCTTCTGGTCAGTAAGTAGAGATCCGAGGTAAATAAACTCTCCAACAAATCCTACGTTCAGAGTTCGCCCGTCCTAATGAGTTGACTGGCCCCTATCAATAAGCATGACTTTCGTTTTGAGCTTACTAATTGTACATAAATGTGGTTCAAACCCAAAAGTGCGTCTCGGAGATGTAAATACGACCAGTAAACACGAACCAATCAGCCACAAATAACCTAGCGTCGTTAATGTTGTTCCCTCGTTTACGATCCGGTATTTTTGTTATATTTTACAGGCTCATAGCTTTTACGGTTTTGGGACCATTGCATATTTACCTGTGAATAATAAAAAAGGAATTTAGTACGCGAATTTGTTTTCCGACTTTAGTTTTTTTTTTTTTTTTTTTTATGCAAACATTGTTTCTGTCATGCACACTTCGATTTCGATGTTTTTGATCGAAAACTTGTTAATATTTGAGTTTAAAAAAGCCTTCGAAACATGGCTTCGGCAATTTTATGGTATGATTTTCACGCATCTATATATTAATGCGTGAAGCAAAAACTTTGTACCCCTTTTTACGAAAATTGCGCGGATGGAGGAGTAAGAAATTTCCCACACATAGAGAATGTAGAGAAGGAGTGCAGAATGCTAATATTTTATGTAAACTATGCAGTAATAATACATTAAATGAATAAAAAAACTTTACACACACTAAGATGTATTTGACACACACACACTCGCAGATAGATACTCTTTTTTTATTGTCAAACTTTTGTTATTGCTTAAAGTCTGTGGTTAAACTGAGAATAGGTTATTATAGTTTATCTTTAGTTTGTCTATAGTGTAGTCTTGACGAAATTTTT